TGAAGTGTTTGCCTTCATCATTGCAAAAGTTCAAAAGGACACTCATTCATAAATGCATTCACAAATACAAACCCACTTTTGCACTAATAGATGACCTGAACGTCTCTGAGGCAGCAGAGCAAATTTCAATCTCCATGTGACTGGTATTGGTCTGGTATGGTTATTACTAAATTTATAATGATCATTTATTCCTTTATTTTTTTCATGCATTAGAAATTTTGACCTTAATAAAATCCTTCAGACATTTAGAGGAGAGCAATGAGAAGGACTCAGAATGAAGCTTCTAATAGATACTACTTTTTCACACTATAATAAATGTCAGTTTTGGAAGTTGTAGTCAGTGTTTTCCTGGAGCTCTCTCTCTGCACCTCCTTCTTTCCTTCCCACCAACTCCACTTTTCAATACTACTCTTTTCCAGGCTTATCCACAAGTTCTATGTTGCTCACCACCCGCTTATACCTTGGAGGCCTCGGTCCTGGGACTGTTCTGCAAAGCAGCATAAAGACCCAAAATTTCAGAAACTCAGCAGATAAAAACACAACCAAAAAAATGAAAAAATCTTTCGCAGAGTCAGTCAGAGATGGAGAAATAACAGACAGACAGAGGATCATGTTCCCAGTATGAAGAACAAATAGAGTGTGGAGTGGTGGAGTGCAAATAAATGTGCTTCCCTTGTTTTCTCCAGGGATACAGACAAGTTAGAACAGAGAACATCTGAGCCAAGGGAACTCATGGATCTTAGGTCTCAAGGCCCTGAGTCAGTTTAAGATAAGAGCAAGCGTTCAAACCAATTAATACTTTTCTAGCCTCGGAACACATATTGGTGGTAGCTTAGGAATTTTGAAATCCAGGATGCCAGCATCTCAGAAGAGTCTTGATCTAACATTCAATAATTGAATTTTAAAATCTGGCAATAGGGCCTCCCCTGGTGGCACAGAGGTTGAGCGCTGGGCTGCGAGACTGCCCGCAGCCTCTACAGCGCCGGTTCGTTCCCGGGCTGCTGGCGAGGGTCCCACAAAAAAAAAATAAAAATAAAATAAAATAAAATCTGGCAATAATACCACCATAGAGGCCCTGTCTATAGCTCCTAAATGCAGGGCCAGCTTAATGGTTTCTTCTGGCTCTGTGACAGAGCTTATTTCACAGTGAATAATCAATGAATATTGGTCTGATTGAACTCATCTGTTTCTAAACATAGACAGCAAAACCCTAGGGATATTTTTCAGTGAGGTTGCCATCTCTCCAGCGGTGAAGAGGCCTCTTTTCTTGACTTACTTCAATGTTCAGTTTTGCTAGACAGTTTTTATGTCCTCCCTCAGTAAAGAATTCAGTCTATTCTCTAGAGTACAGGCAGGTAGTTTATTTGTGGGGGACAATTCTCTAACACAGAGTTCATGTGGATCTGAAAGTCACAGATAGCCAGCCTGTGTACAGTCCCATTCTTTCAACAGGAAAAACTTCTATCCCAACATGGAAGCATTCAGTCCCCTGTGACCAGAAAGAAATTTGGAATTTATCTCTTGTTCTACTCATCCATTCTTTTGTGTTATAACAAAATACTTGAATATTCTGGAAATCATTTTTTATAGCTATGAAAAGGTAATAATAACATGGAAATGCTCTATTTAAAGAACAACTCTGAGGAATAAGTAAGGATAGAAATATTATGTACTTTGGAGAAAACCAGTCTTTCTCAATGACTCTCCATAATTTTCTCTCTAATTATGTTGTTACAAATCCAGTTTGAGTCCCACCATGCAAATAAGGATTTCATTTATTACTTCAAGCTTATTTGTTTCAACTCTTTTATTTAGCAAATATTAGTTGCAAGCTTATTATGAAGTAAAAGTTTTGCAAACAAGAGAATGCAATGGTAAACAAGTCTGAAACTAACCTGGTCCTTAATGACATAATAGGGGGTAGATATTAAAAATTGCGTATACCAAAAATTACCTTATTAATGTTTTGATAATTCCTAAAATTCAAAATGCATTATAATTTATAATGTGTATGAGACACTTATCTAATATGCAAGATTTAAAAAGGAATATGTGAAGAAAGATTTTTAATTTCAGCCTAAATGGAAACTGCCAGGTAAAGAATAAAGAAAAGGCGCTAGTAGAAGAGGCAAGGAGACATCTGATACATTTAAAAAGCTGAAATTAGCAAGTCCACTGGGGTACTTGCTTCATTAATTAACAATTGTGTTAGTCTGCCCTGTATGACCACAGTCTCCAACTTTCCATAATACAAGGTTAACTTTATTTAGATTCCTGGAATATTTTTTCAACTGTATATGTACAAAATATATTTGACCTTAGTAAAAGTTAAGTTTAGAATAAGCCAGACCAAGATTTAAATAATTTACTATGTACCTTAAACTTGATAGAGACAAGGAAAGGAAAAGTTAGAGATAATGGTGTGAAGGAAGGGGTTTCTGATGAAGTGGGAGAGTATGAAACCATTATTGAGAACACATGGTTTCTGAGGTCTTTTCATAAAACATGTTATAAGAAAATGTTTAAGGGTATAAATTTCTGCCTTCAAGGATCTCATGATATACTGTGAGTTGACAAATACACAAGAAAGCAACAAGAAATCTTAATAGTTCCAGGAAGAAAGCAGCTCCTACTTATGTCTTTTCTGAACTGTTAACAGCCATTACAATACAGCAAAGAAAATACCAGCACACATACAGAAGGTTTGAAATCAAAATACCATTTTATCTTTTCTTTCCTACTCCCAAGTAGTCTACTGTGGTCATCTTGATGAAATGTATGCCTTCAAATAGGTGGTGGTGTTTTTTTTATCCTAAGAGAGATTAAGATGCGTATAAATTGCTTCTAACTTATTCTACCCAACACTCACCTACCCATATCATTTTATTTTTGTAACATATCAGACACTGAGTATGACAGCACAAACAAAAAACATTAACTTCATCAAGGTATCTGGAAAGTACAAATGAAATGAAAATAAATATAGTGTAAATAGATATAAATAATTGCAAGGTTCAGAATTTCATTTTGTTATTTTCATAGAGATCTTCTTTCCCTGCAGTGATTCTAAGGACAATTCCTGTACACGATCTTGAAGACAATAGAATTATTGAAGTTTCAAGATGCAAACTGACAATCATTTGTGAATTGTAAAATAATATTTTGGTTTTTAGATAAAGAATGTTTTGGATGGAACTTTAAAAAGAAGACTTGAAATACTTTGAGAAAGACAGTTAATAGATGAGGACCTAGGGCCTCCCCGGTGGAGCAATGGGCTGAGCACAGCACTGTGAAGCTGTCCACAGCCTCTGCAGCGTGGGTTCAATTCCCGACTGGCCAGGGAGATTCCCACGTGGCATGGCAGACCTCTCCTATGGCCCACTGCTCCCCTCAGCAGTGTATTTCTGCTCTAGTGAATCCTCTCACCATCCTGCACTTCTGGCCTGTACCCCAGCTCTTGTATAAAAATAAATAAATTTTTAAAAAAAAATAGATGAGGACCTAAATAAGCTCAATGGTCAAGTTAAAGTTCAGATTGTGATGTATCGGTATATACTCACTAGAATGATTTATAAACACTTCAAACTCAAATATTCACCTCAAATATTGAGTTCATTTTCTTGGAAAGTGACATAGGATAAATAAAGGAAAAACCACAGTTTTCTGGCTTTGTAATTCACATTTGTATTGTTATAATTTGCAACAGGAATGGGGAAAAACAGAAAGGACACTTTTATTTTTTAAAGATTTATCTTATTTATTTATGCATACAAGAACTGGGGTGCAGGTCAAAGAGGATTCACCAGAGACAGTGTGGAGAGCAGAGCATGCAGATGTACTGAAATACACTGCTGAGGGGAGTAGCGGGTGAGACAGGAGAGGTCTGCTGTGCCATGTGGGTCAGCTCCCTGGCTGGGGGTTAAACTCTTGCTGCAGTGGCCGCCCATAGTTTCATAGTGCTGGGACTTAACCCCTTGCACCACCAGGGAGGCCCAGAAAGGACAATTTTATGGAGGAAATTAGTGAGTTTCCAGGTGAGAGTTTGAGAAATTTAATATAAGGAATCTGTAAGCCACTCAAATAAATAGATATCCAAGAAGAAATTAGATAAAGAATCTAAAATCAGACAGATATAAGTTTGGATCCTAAATTTACTAATTAACTTTGCATATTCTTTATAAATTTCTGTATCATTACCAGCGAGATGAATTAACTATTACCCCTGTATCATTACCAGCGAGATGAATTAACTACTATTACCCACTCAAAAAAATTTTAAATTAAATATGTTGATACTTATAAAATATGGATCAAGATTAGTGAAAATATTCTTGGTGCATGCCATTGAAGAAAATGGATACAAAAGAGAATCAAAACTATGTAATCTGGGGTGGGTATTGGAAAAGTAAAACAAGACACAAAAAAGAGATTAGTAATGTATAGCAACAGGATTGAAGCGTGAAATAGTAAGTTTGGTATAGAAGTGCCCTTCTGTACCCATCATAGGCTTCTTCAGGTAAGTGAAACCTAAACCAAAAAAACCCTGTATTATCAAGAAGTCTAGAAGATTCATTTCCTTCCCTCCCTCTTCTGCCTAAACTTTGCACATGGAGAGAAATCTAAGATTTCAAGTTAATATTACCCACAGCTTTATTTATTTTTTTTAAAGATTTATTTATTTATTTATACAAGCACTGGGTACAGTCAGAAGCGCGGGAGGGTGAGAGAATTCACCAGAGCCAGAGCGGGGAGCAGAGCAGGCAGAAGGACAGAAGCACACTGCTGAGGGGAGCAGCGGGCGGCAGGAGAGGTCTGCGCGCCATGTGGGACCCTCCTCCGGTGGCCGGGGAGCAGCCGGGGATCGAACCGGCGCTGCAGAGGCCGCAGGCAGCTTCGCAACCCAGCGCTCAACCGCTGCGCCACCGGGGAGGCCCATACATCTTTATTTTTATGTCTTTCTGTGCTACATAAAGTTCTACCCAATCAATTTTATCCCCACTTCTTCTCCCCATTCACTGTGTCTTCTTCAAAGTGAAGAGGAGAATAAATTTGTCCTGAATCTGCTTGGTCTTGACTCCATAAACAATCGGGTTTAAAGCAGGAGGGATGGCCACATAAAGGTTGGCAAACAGGATGAGTACATTTCGAGGGACACTGTGCCCAAAGCGATGAGCAAGAATAGAGAAGAAGGCAGGGGTGTAAAACATGAGGATGACACAGACATGGGAGCCACAGGTGCTGAGGGCCTTTTGGCGGGCGCCCTGGGATGAGAGATGAAAAACAGCACGGAGGATGAAGGAGTAGGAAACAGCAATAAAAATCACATCTGAGATGACAGTCATGAGGGGCACAGAAAATCCATACCAGATGTTAATAGAGATGTCAGCAGAGGAAAGCCGAGCAACCCCTATGTGTTCACAGTACGTGTGTGGGATGATTCGAGTCCCGCAGAAGGGCAACCGTTTCAGCAGAAAAACATCGGGCAAGATGACAGAGAAGCTCCTCACGATAATCCCGACCACGATCTTGATGATCATCTGCGGAGTGAGGATGGTGGTGTATCTTAAAGGGAAGCAGATGGCCACATAGCGATCAAAAGCCATGGCCAACAGGATGGCCGAGTCCACTACAAAGCTGAAATGGAGGAAGAACATCTGGGTGAGGCAACCGGAGAAGGTTATTTCCTGGAGGCCAAGCCAGAGGTTGCTGAGTAGCTTGGGCACTGCCGCAGTGGACAGGATGAGGTCTGTGGTGGCCAGCAGAGAGAGCAAGAAGAACATGGGCTCATGGAGGCTGTGTTCAACCGCGATGAGGTAGAGGAGGATGCAGTTGCCTACGGTGCCCACCGCATAGATGACACAAAAAGGAATCCCAATCCAGATGTGGAACTTCTCCAGGCCAGGTATTCCAACAAGAATAAAGGAATCCGGGTTGTAACAACTCAAATTATACATGGTCTCCTCAGTCTGCTCAGTCTGAGATCCACTGGTTTTTGATCCCTGTGGATAAATCAGCTGTCAAAATGGACTTCGAGATACAACAATTCCATTCTGGTGTGAGCAGGTTTGGGAATTGCAACTGTCACTTTTAGGGGTCCCACATGGTGTTCTGGCCCCAATAGAATTGATTTGCTCTTGCCCGTTTTCCTTGCACTGGCCCCACTTCATTTTTAATAAGCGTACTAATAAACCGCATGAAATGCATGAAATGAAATGGTTTTCTAGGTTAGTGGTGTCTATGATTAAGCCTTAATAACGGTTCCTTTCTCCATTGTAGAGTACTTAGGTTCAAATGGAAAAACAGAACAAAGAAAACATACTAGTATGAGAAGGAGGTGTACATACATGAGGAAGGAAGGGAGGGAGAGGGAGTAAAATTAAGGAAAGGAGGTTAATGCTATTAGGTGGAATGAATTGTGGGGAAAGGGGAATAATTGACTCTTAAAGAGCAAATACTATGTTACAGACAATGGGTTTAATAAGATAAACTGAAATTTCATTAAGTAATGCAAATATTTCTGAAGGAAAAGCAAAAACAAAAATCAGATTTCAGTGCTTTGGATGGCATGGGCGCTTTGGTTGCCCAAGCACTGAAATATGGTTCAGATTAGGAAGCAGCTATTTGGAATACAAATATAAGAGAACGAGTCTTACCAGAAAATGCAGAGGGACTAGTAGTGTTCCCTTGACTCAGAGAACAGTGAGCTCAGAAGACGATTCATAGCTTCAGGAAAAATGCCTTAAACCTTGGAAGTCCTCGCCTCCCTAAAATTGCTAAAGGGAAACAGCTTAGCCATCTGTGAGACTGGTAATGCCTCCATGACAAACACCTGCCAGGGTGACTGGGTCTTGTTAAAGTCAAGCTGATTCTCACCTCCCACAGAAAGTAAAGTGTAAGGAAAAAGACAGTACTTGGAACTCATCTTTGGGAATCTCTAGCATTGCACCAAATGGATAGTGCCTTTGGAGGTGCTTTTTGCATTGGGTGTATCCTCTGAGTTTTAACTCCCTTGGATGATCTATTTCATAAAGTACTTCTGAACAGGGAATCAGCAATGGTAACACTAGGCAGAGGAGTTTGAGAGGCTCCAGGCTTGTGGCATCCTTCGATCTGTGTTGGGAGGTTTAGTCCTCACTCTTCCCAACAAATTTAGAAAGTCATTCAAAAATCTTTTAAGGAAAGAAAGTGGACTCTGTGGACAGATCATAACAACTCTCTATTATTGTGGTTGGCAGGAAATTTTAACTTTGAACACAAGGAAGAAAGACATGCAGAAATGTGTGATGTCTCTGCCATAATCCCAGTTACACAGTGAGCTTCTCTCACTTAGGGGACAGTCTTGCCAACAGCAGAGTCCTTCACTAGCCAAAGTGAATAAAGGATGTACTGGGAGGAATGTAACTGGTTCTCATTGTCCAAAGGCAGATCCCCCTCACCCTCCACCTGCACCCATAGTAATGTATATACTAAAGTATGCTTTCAGGTGTGATGAAGACTGATCTCCTAAGACATGAAGCTTATGAGAATAAGAATAGCAATAGTGTCTTTGTGAAATCCACGCTGAGGGGATGGCAACATTATTTTTCTCACAGGAAGGTAAAGCGAGTAGATTGAGACAGACTGAGAAAGTCCCCGGGGCCTCTGCAGTGTAGGCTGGATGGCAAGTCAGTCTCTTGGCAGATAGCTTCCTGCTTCCTAATAAGCACATTACCACAGAGTCACCGTTTAAAGGGGAGAAAAACAGACCGCTAGTCATAAAAACTACAACAGAGGGCGAAAAGAAAACATACAAACTCAGGTTAACCTCTTCAGTCAAAGCCTGTTCTGACGTCAGTCCCTTAACTCTGAGTTCTTCCCTTGTGCATTTCCTGGTCACATTAGTTGATCTTTGCTTGAAACCGGGAGCTTTCTGCCAAGAACTGTCTCTTTATTATGTGATCACTGGTGTCAAGTGGACTCCTTTTCAGAATCATGTTGTCCAAGGCACAGATTCTGCCTGGACACTGAGTAAATGTGAGGCTGCTTTTTTTGGATAAAACCACGTAGCCAGGTTAGGATTTTACTCATTTCTAAAGATTGTAGTTTTCTACTCACCAGACTGTCTTCTGTCTCTTGTTTTACGGGAGTAGTAGGAAGTACCTGTATAAAAGGAACAAGTGAAATTCTAGGCTGGGAAAGCTTCTGAAAGAGATGAGATGAAAACATTTATGCATTTCCTTATAGTCTCAGGAGACAAAATTCAGGTTCTAGGGGCCCTTCCACTTCCTACTCCCAGAGAAGAGATGAATCAACCATTTTAACTCCTGTCTCTTGAGATGAAATGTAGCCTGGTGGTTGTAGTAAACTAAATATTGGATCCCTGGAAAAGTCAATCTAGACAATGCAGTCACATTCATTTGAGACCAAATTCTCACAGGCCCAAGGAATCTCTTGTAATTGCTTTATAATTAGTTTACATGTATGAACTAAACCAATAATGTACAAATATAATGAAAATTTTCTAGTCTTGACATTGTAATGTAAGAGGCTCCAATGTTTTCTTCAAAAATTTTAGCCATTCTCTGCACTTTGCACTGCCATGAAAGTTATAAAACAGTTTCTCTATTTACAAAAACACACACGCATACATGTAGAGTTTTAGTTTGATTGCATAGAATTTATGTCTCAATATGGAAATAGTTGATCTGCTTATAATACAGTATACTCATATTACAACAACATAATTGTACATTGGTGGAAGAATGACTAAAGACAATGCACACACACGTGCATGCACACACACACAGAGTGGAATATTATTTAGTCATGTAAGAAGAATTGAATTTTACCAGTTGTGACAAAATGGCTACATGTAGGGGGGAATTTTTCAAAGTGAAATAGATCAGGCAAAGAAAGACATACACGATATGGTCTCACTCACTCTTTAAAAAAAGGAAAGTTAATAGATGCAAAGAACATATTGGTGGTTGTCAGAGGTAGGGCATGGGTATGGATGAAATGGGTGAAAGGCACCAAAAGGTATAAGCTTCCAGTTATATAAAATGAATTCACCATGCATGTGATATAATGTACATCACTATGACTATTATTAATAACTGCATTGTGTACTTGAAGGTTACTAAGAGAGTAGATATGGGGAAGATGATCCATTATAAGTTTGTAAATTTAAGCTGATGATGTATTAGTGACTGCCATTGTGAATGGTAAAATAACATTTTAAAAAATATTCTTCAGTGTGAGTCTACTGAGAAAAAATTTTCCACAAAATCAAATGGTGCATCATTAATTATCAGTTTCTCTTGCAAATTCAGGCAGACAGAAGAGGAAGATTTTCAGAAAAAAGTTGTCACAGTGTGCCAAAGTCAGATTACATGATGGGTGACAGAATACGGAGGTTAATAAATGGAGCTTCTATGAAGCTACTGGAAGCCACTGCAGGATGGGTTCAATCCCCAGCCAGGAAGCTGACCCATATGGTGCAGAAGACCTCTTCTGTCTCACCTGCTGCTCCCCTCAGCCATACATTTCAGTAGATCCACCTGTTGTGCTCCCCACTCTATCTCTGGTGAATCCTCTCACACCCCACACACACCTCTGGCCTACACCCCAGCTTTTGTATGCATAAATGAATAAAATAAATCTTTCAAAAAATAAAGTGATGCTTTTCCAGAACCTTCTTTCTTTGAGTCACATTGACAAACCCTTCATTTTTCTACTTTCCCCACTTCCTTTGGGTAAAATTCAATCCTTTTTTATACTGTCATTCAAATACAAAACTGAAAAATCTGACATTTCCTACACGTTCTTTCCTGCCATTCATTTTGTCTGTCTTGTTCATGCTCTGACTACATGTTCTAGCTGGTGGAAGCTAGATGGTGGAAGCTTCCATCACAGGGTCCATGGTGCCAGGAATGCAGAGCTTGGCAATCTTCACACATCCAGTGATATGAGACTTGTTGAGCAGCTGACAAGTTGATTTCTAGTTAAATCACAGATATTTCTGTATTGTTTGCACCCACAAAAGAGTAAGCTCTTTTAGCTCAGAAACTTTTCTACTCCCTTCTATCTATGAGTCAGAAAATGAAAATCACTTAAGCATAACCACTGAGCACATTCACAGTTTTAGTTTCTCAATATGAATGAAGTTTGTTCTGAAAACAAATGAACTTGGGATGCCTTTCAAGTATAATGGCATCATCTAAATTTTGCATGAATTGCATTCTGGGAGCTGGCATTTTATTCCTCTTTCTTTTGGTGTCACATAATACTCCTGTGGAGTATCCCTTCTCAAGCACCCTTCACCCAGCAATGGTATGTTTTATGAAGGAATCTTTTCTATGTTGCTTTTTCTTATTTCAGATCAATGATCAAAGGTATGATGTAAGGAGTGACATAGGCACTCCACATGTGCCATGTATAGCTATGCATCCACAGAGCTAGACATGTTGTTTTAATTACACTGAATATACCAAGGATAACCATGGTTCTATGCTATTGAAGCAGTCAACGTAATTGCTGTAGCACATAATGCAATTCTGGTATATTAACATTTATGTAAATGCCTTTGAAAAATTTTAGCCAACAGTGTTTCATAGCTTTGTTCCTAGGGTTAACTCAGAACTTACTCAATGCCTGTGGCTGTGGTGATGAATATTATGACTATTGGCTAGGCAACGTTATCTAGATATTTGACCAAACACTGTTCTCATTCTTTCTGTAATGGCATTTTCTAGATGAGAGGAACATTATCCCAGTAGACTAAATGAAGAAGATTACTCCCCTTATCGGTCGTGAGCTGAATTCAATCAACTGAAGGCCTTCAAGGAAAAGACAGCGAACCCTCAAAAAATTGGGTAATCTGCCTATAGTTAGCCTAGACTTTTCTAAAGTTCTAGCTATGCCATTTTATCTTATGAAGGATTAACGTAGTAACATAGGATTGTAAAGTCAAAAAGCAAAATTGGGCCTCCCCGG